ATGTTCCCCCACAAATAACCCAAACCCATAGGTCCAAAACCACCCCTAATATTGCCCAGCCCTGTCCCCTTTTATTGGCCAAACACAACCCCTCATTTTTACCCAAATAATAGCCTTAAAACCCAGGAACCAACCACTACAAACCAAAGCTCAAAACCCCCACAACCCCAGCCCCATCCCTGAATTTTATCCCACTTTGGAGACAAGATTCAATGAGTGTTACCCCATACTTTGGAAGTGGATGTTGCTAGGAAGCTTCCTCATGTTCACATTCAATGTATTATGTATTTTCTCCTTCCCCTCTCCCTATATAACTCAGGCCATATGGCCATTGTAACACATCTTTGAATATTGAAAACCATTTACTCTTTGAGTATTATTAAAATAGTGTGATGCTATTTTAGCCAAATTCCTAATTCTATATCTTAAGAGTGGTTATCTTAAGTGTGAGCTTTAGGTTCTAGATATTTGATTAAGTGTGTAGTATCTTAATTGAATTCTAGATTCAAATCCCAAGTTAGGATAAGAGTGTGTAATATCTCCTAACACCAACTTGGTTTTATCCATCCGTGATATTTCTTCCATTTCATATCCCTCCATTTCTCCTTCTTAATCCTATTCATTTTCTTCCAAAAAATACCAAAAAAAGAACTCCTAAAACACCCTCCATACTTTCGCCCACAATTTCCCTTGCATTTTCCTCCGCACATCCGCCACTAGATTATCAACTTGATAAGACCCCCGGTTCACCCCTAACATCTATGTATGTTGACTGTTCTTATAAATAGAATCTACTAACTCTCATATTGTCACAATAAACTAGTAACAACTATCATTTTTCCTAAAATGAATTCAAGAAGAATAAAAATTACTGCTTAAAGCTCACAGACAAAGACAAAAGAACTTTGATCATCATACTTGCAACAATGACCTCTCTAACCTGAAACATAAGAAAATATTTCTATGAAAAAATTGAACGTTTGTTTATAGAAAAAAAACAGAAAATCAAGAAATGGAGAAAGAAAATTTTAAAATCCAAAGGGAATGCTAATCTTTGATATGCGATGAACTATAGCTTTGAGTGAGAGCACTGTTAAAGTATGGTTTAAAGTAAGACGAGTGAAACTGCCACGGGAATGACAATAAGCTCCAGAATCAAAGAGGATTAGCACTAATGACTCCTAATCTGATATTCAAACCATGGAAAAGAATTTATCACAAACGGCTGTAAATGAAGATCAAACATGAACGGAGATAAAAATCAAACCACATGCTTGCTCCCAAATGAAAACATAAAGCAAAGCTATTACAAAATTACACCAACCCTCAGTAAGAACAATAATAACAATTTAAGAAACACAGGTCCCCACAATGAGCATGCATATATTTAAATCACAATTCTCACCAATGTTATTTCTCAATGTTTGTTCTCCTCCACTAAAATTTGCCTTTGTCAGCCAGTACCATCTGCAGCAAAATAAAACAGGTGGGTTAATGAAGATTCCATGACAACACTGAAGTAATAAAAAAATGCTGAACAAATTTTCTCAGAAGTTTTTGGTAAGGAGAAGGAGATAATTCCTGATGAAATTGCTAGTAACATTCCAACTATCATCACACAGGAGGGAAATGTTATGTTACCCAAATACTTACCAAAGAGGAAATCAAAGAGGAAGTTTTGGGGACTTAATCCACACAGTACAGCTAAGCCAGATGGTGGGTTTCATAGGGTGTTATTAAGGCTGGGCAAGAGTTCTTTTTAGGAATTCCAGTACCTCAGGCCTATGGGAGTACATTTCACTCTAATACCCAAAAAGGATGAGGCTAACATATTTGGGGATTATAGGCTAATCTCTCTATGAACTTTTATGAGAAAAATATATACAAGAATCTTATCAACTAGAATGGATACTATACTCCCAAAATATTTCCCAAGACAAGACAGGCTTCCAAATATATAAGGGGGTAGGATGAGCAGATTCTTCTTGCATAAGAGAGGGTAGGCTTCAAGAACGTCACTTTCGAGGTGGATTCTTTAACTGTTTTCGATGCTCTCTTTTACCCCTGTGTAGGCTTACCTGTTTTTCATTTAATTACTAACAACATCATGAGCACGAATCCTGTTTTTTATTCTGTGAGCGGGTTGTTTGTATTCTGTATAGCGGGATTGTAACGTCCTCGCTCATCATTTGGCTAGGGGTGTAGAATTGAGTCTGTGTGGGGTCTTACCCGCCACCAACCCTTTTATTCTGGCTGATGCATAAACGAATTGATGCTTCCGGTTGGTCGTTCAAAAAAAGAACAGGAATAGCATATAAACTTCCATTTGTTAAATTATAGAGCTCTCTACTTTTAGTAGGGGTAAGTTCAAAACTCACTGAGGTTTGTCTCTCTCTAACATGGCGAGGAAGAGGACGGCCTAAGAAGAACACTTCCAACAACAAAGCAGCGAAGATTTCAACCCCGTCCTCAGCGATTTCAAAGGAAGAGAATACCGAAGGATCTACATCTTGAAGTACACAGGCTTCCCTAACGAATCTTGGGAACATGTCATTGGATGCTGAAAAATGAAAGACATGAAACTAGAAAAAAAGGGAGATTAAGGTGGAAAGAGATTTAAAGGATAAGCAGAATAAATGTGAGCCGACCGATGGTAAAATAGACAAAAAAACAGCCAAAGAACTATCTGGATGCAGTGATTTCATCGGATCCAATTATGGCCAAAGAATAAAAAAATGGTCAGAGGATAGCTAAATTTACAAAGTCTGATGTTATTGAAGAGATTCATGTACAGGATAAGGCTGTAGTCTGTTGTGTCTTAGGGGAAAGCCCCCCCCCCCCCCCCC